ACGCGAGGATATGTTAGCGTCAAGAGCTTCAGAAGTGTGTCGTAAGTTGTAAATTCGCCGTTGATTGGGTCGGTTACGCCTTCGTAGATCATCCAAGCGTTGTAGAGCTTCATTGAGGCGTTCGATATCTGACATGTTTATTGATCGATGTCTGAGACAGTAAGGAAGATTTCACCCTATTGTGGAAAGATCTTCTAGCGATTAGATTTTCGAGTTCGGTAAAGAAGATGGCTTAAGTTGCAGATAAAAATGTTGTTCATGATGTTGTTGTTCCGAATATGAAGGAAAAGCAATCTCAGACTGTTGTTGAGTACTTAAACAATTAAGAATAAACAGTTCCGTACATGGTAACCGGAACTTATTGTATTGCAAGATATTGGACTTCAAATTGAGCCGTAGAGGCCGTGCAAAGTGAGAGTGTGACATGACATGATGCTAATCAATCATGCACTGATAATTTATACAGTTTGATTCAAATTTTGACCCGAGCATTCGTTAAGTGTTCATGAATAAGTAAGCGCTTAGAATTACACATCGAGATACCTAGTTGCCGAAGTAATGCTTCACCCCAAGAGGGACAATTGAGCGGTCATCTATGCAGATAAATTTCTCTAACAATTTGATAACAACGATTATTCACGTCCAGTGGTCTGTACGTGTTCAACTTCTAGAGCAGTGCATCAAGGATTGCTCTGAAATTCATTCGGCAAGAAGAAGCAGCAATGAAGATTCTAGATGTTCAAGGATGGACATAGGCACTGGCGGGTTTTCACTCCACAAGAAGAGTTTCAAGTTCCATAAATCAAATAATTCTGAAGTTGCAAGATTCAGAGTATATAAGAATTCAAGTGGTGGCAGCATAAGTATACATCTCTCATTTTCACCACCTGAGTAGGCTCATCTTGATAGAGTTGAGTTTGGCATATGCTTTATGCGTTCGAAATAAATGCTCCCACAATGTGATAGAATTTATTACAGCCTACTACTGTATATTCTTTGCTAATTTTGTCAGCGTAGAAGCTGTCACCAAAAGGCCTTTCTTGAACCATCTGTTTAGTGATTCATTCAATCCCAACCCACCGCCTGACGTCCTCTTCTTATAAATATCGATAAAAGCTACTGTCCAAACCAGAAGAACAAATGTTCTCTTAGTCCATTTCTTGAGGAAGCCTTTCCGCGTATATGCAATGTTCCAGTGTCTCCAAGTTGGGAACGAACAGCGATAGAAAAAGTCAAGTTGAGTGTATCTGTAACCGATTAGTTCATGGATGGAAGTAAGAAAAAAAAGGGGTCATACGGGTAAGTGTTCGAATTCCATCCATCATCACGGAGGTACCAATTCTTCGTACGAGTATCTGCCCACACCATACTTCTCAAGGCAGACTGAATTTGAGTAGTCCACTTCATTTGAGCCTCTTGTTTGACCTCTAACTTGGCAATATTGCCATTGAGCAAAGGCTTGATAAAGTTGAGGGTTTGAGTCACCATACTTTCTGTCGTATAAATAACAGATGTGTGACCAGTAAAGCAATTCGGGCCAAGCAAAGTGAAGAAATTTGGAAATCCATCCATAGCAGTCCCCATGTACATTTGAGGGCCACCCCGTTCTTCAAATACGTCTTGTAATGTTTTTCCTTCCTTGCCGTAGACATTAAATGGATGGAACCATTTCGTTGTTTGGAACCCATTTGCAAGAACGATAACATCAGCAGGAATGGTAATTTTGTCCGTTGGTACGGAGCTTGCTACGTTCTCAGGTGGATAGTTACGACCAGGTCCCAAAGTCACAGTATCTTCTTCAAGGCTCTTCAGTGGAAGCGTTGTCAGATGAATTTTCGGGTCATTCAGAGATGCATACCATTCCGGATCCCAGATCCTCCTCTTACAACCAATTCCATAGTTTGGAGTCAAAATTTCGTGATACTTCTCGGGCGCCTTACTTTTCATGTAAGCCAAACATTCAGCCTCCAACTTTCTACGTTCTCTCTCGCCGAAAGAGCCGGATCGGAATATTCGAAAATCATATTCAAGCACTGCGCCTAACGAATAACGCATGGCTTTATTGAAACCGGGTACGTATGTGTTCAATGTTGGTGACCATTTATTCCACAAATTCTCTCCTAGTGGCGGGATGACTTTGGGTGAAACCCATGGAGGAGAATGCATTAGTTGAGTTACTGACTTCGCACCATACTTAGTCACGAGTTTCGGCACGAATTGTGCTGCACTGCAACCAGTTCCTATAACCACCACATTCTTATCCTTGAGATTGACGTCAAATCGCCAACGAGCGGAGTGAAAAATTTCTCCTTTGAAATTATCTTTTCCGGGGATACTCTCGGGCCAAGATTTTGGTTGAACGAGTCCTCCAACAGCACTTATTAAGATTTTGCATCGAATCTTCTCTTCATAGGTATAAACGGCACTGTGGCCTTGCTTTTTGACCTTGAGTGCTCGATCTTCTTCACTCAAATCTCCAGCACCAACCATCAAGTGTTGTAATGTTACTTCCCAAACTTGTTCGTTCTCAAGCCAGCGTGCTTCTTTGGCGTCGGTATTGACTTGTATTTTATCCACAATTGCATACTTCTCACAAACAGTCTGGAGATATTCGGCCATCTCTGCGCCCCCTGGATGAAAACATGACCAATCGTACTTGGGGCAGAACGAGAATGAATAGAATGTTGAGGGTCTATCATATAGTGTCAGCATGAATCTATTGTCAAATATAATCTCATCGGGCGAGAAACTGACATATCACAAGCAACTCCGGGGTAGCGATTGATCCACCATGTTCCCCCAATTCCCGATTGCCTATCAAATATGCGAAACTGATCAAACCCTAGGACTTCCTTCAAACGACATCCCATAGCAATACCCGATTCACCGGCACCGATGATAGCAATGGGGTAATATATATACTCGTGGGCTTCATGATTGATCCGGACAATATTCCCATACTATAAATGGATGAAATGTGTGTTAGCTGTTATTATATTGCAACGTTGCAAGAAGGATAGGCAGGGGTAATTACGACGGGATTGACATTTCCTTTAGTCTGAGTAGACATTTTGACCTAAATACCCGTATTAATTCGGCTCACTTCCGAAAATTTAGTAAATGGCTCTCCCAGAGCTTCAATGAGGAGTAGACGAAGGATTTCACTGAAACAAGTAGATCGGGCGATCTCCCAAAGTATGTCGAAATTGATGAGAAGTAGGAGCTGAGCTTGTGGAAGGTCCTAATTGATACAATGACGAAGAATCATTGTATTTTAAAGGTTAAATAGGAAATAGAAAGGGTCCTCTCGCGCGCGGGGTCTGCGAGAAAGCTTCGGCATTCAGCCAGCCACTTGATACGACCTTCCTGTCTCTGCTTGGTGTGCGTGCCGAGGTGTCAGCACCGCATGCATATATGGATACTTCAATAGCATATGTCATCACTTTGGAGAAGCAGAAGCCGTTTAGTAAATCTGTTTTCAAGTTCACGACAAAAATGAGAGAATCAATTGTGAGCAAGACACACATATTTCGAAGAGCAAAAGACATCATTTCCTGATGAGTGGAAAGGTTCAAATCACAGAGGTTATGAAGAGAGATATTTATTTTGATAGAAGGAAGACTTATGGTGTTACTATATTACATAATTAATTATTACCGACCCGAGCCAACCAGTTGTGCTAGTTCAAATGGTCTGTGCTCTCCGTCAGTTTAGCATGTGCATTGGTCGCAAACTTGCAGTGCCGTGCTAAGGTCATCCCTACGAATAAAATGTCAATCTTCAACTGCATTGTGACAATTGGACCATCAACCACACAACATGCGATTGCGTCTAACTAGTACATTATGTCAAACAACAAAATGCAAACGAGGACTCTCATCATCAATTGCCGTGCGCAAATACCACAGTCTACCGTCCGTTCAAACAATCAACTCCTCTTTTGACGATGTCAACCTCGATGAATTCAGACTAGAAGCCTTCATTCCCATGAAGCCTATATTCATGAAATCCGTGGAAGACAAATTATCGACGATCTCAGAGAGTGAAAAGTCTTTGAATGGAGTTGCGAAATGGTTCGAGCACGTTCCTTCGTCACAATTTGCAAAAGTGCTTCCACCTGCTGAGACTAGCACTCTTCTGCCATCGCAATATCTCCATAGCTTCGCAGACACTGTCCTCCCTTACGAATTGACAGTCGACTCTGGCGCCTTGCGGAAGCGACTCGAGCGGCTTATGCAGCCCAGCAATACATACCACATGATGTTTTCGGAGCAATTACGCCAATCACTCGAGCCTTACGATTCCAAAAAGTCATTCTATCATTTCTACGCACCATTTTCTCTATTTCTAGCAGCCACTCATCCGAAGTGCTCTCTCCCGCTCTACATTGCACAGGCTCAAATAGCGGATCTGCCGATAGAATTACAACGAGACTTGCCTACACCCAGATTGGTGAAAGGAGCCGGGAAAGGCGATGTTTACGATGCTAATATATGGATGGGCATATCAACAAGTTATACACCATTACACAAAGATCCTAATCCGAATCTCTTCATACAGTTGGTGAGCAAGAAAAGAGTCCGATTATTTCCACCTGCAGTTGGTGTAGGGATATATCATAATGTACAACAAAGTATTGGTGCATCGGGAATTGCCAGCATGAGAGGTGAGGAGATGATGGAAGGTCCAGAAAGATCTCTGCTTGAGGATCGTATTTGGGGAGAAAAAGTCACAGACCAGGGTTTCGAGGTAGAGGTCGGCCCCGGGGATGCGTTGTTCATACCAAAAGGATGGTGGCATAGCATAAGAAGTTCAGAGAGTGGAATTAACGCATCGGTAAACTGGTGGTTCAGGTGAAGTACATGGTATCTAAATACATTTTCCTTTCTGTCACTAATTCTTTTGCATTCCCCTTTTGCAAATTAACCTTCAGTTGCACAGATATTTCCTGCTGCCCATTATCCCTAACCAAGAATATCTTCCTATTGTGTAGCTTTTTGCTACTTTAGCTTCTTAAACAAACTCAAATCTAGTGGAAGTTTTTCTCCCATCCAAATCGCTCTCTGCGTATGGTCTCTCTCTTCATCTAATACCTCTCCTTTCTCATCAACCGTGTTTGGGTGAACCAACGCGCTCAACGGACCCCTGTTAATCACCAGCCAAGGTATGAAAGCGCCAAATTGTTGCGGAGTGAAAATATTCACTTCGAACATAGCAACAGGATGAGGCCCAATTGGTTCTTCCCAGAATCTATAGATGCGAAGCTCCGGAACTATATCCTGAGTCAGTACGAACGCAACAATCCACGGGACTGACTATAGAGATAGAATCCTACATTCTCTTCTAATCCTCTCCCACAATTCTCTGGCAAACTTGGCTTGCTCCTTGTTCTTCTGGAAATGATAGATGTGTACATCGCTAGATCCTCTTAGCCTTCGTTTTTATTGCGCATGGCCATTGGCGAAAACCTACAACGCGCCCCGGATTCCACTATCCAAAGGCTCTGTGAACTTCTCATAACTCTTGCTCTTAATTCCAGTCTCCGGGTTTAAAAGACTTTTTCCGTCAGGTGATACGTCAGTTCCAAGAGGAGCCAAGTTCTCATAGCCTTCAAGAGGTGAAGGATAGGTGTAGAGAGAGGGGTCAGCCATGATCACGAGCTTTTTGTAATGGTTTGAGTATAGAATTTGATAGACTTTTGTTCTCGAAAGTCAATGTGTGAAAAGATGATTGAGTTGCTATAGTTAATAGGTACCTTTAGTGAGGGGCAATGGTCCCACAAAAAATGGTGCAAGTTTTGTGACCAATTGTGATATGTCAGCCGGTAGAAGAGTTAGGTAATCAATCACCAATCATTACTCGAGCAGAAAGATTCATTGCTTCCGAGGTCCTCACAGCATTTACATCTGATATTACCAATACCAACATTTGCAAGTCGATTTGGCTCCTTGAAAGCATTAATACACCTCTACTCACACGTTCGGAGACTAACCAAGGTATCTTTCGCTTTTCGGGAACCGAACACACTTGTTCACACTTGTCTCCGTCCTATCTCCCTACGTCAGAACTGTCTCGGGAGGTTAGACATACATACTGCTTGAGCCTTGAAACTAACCTGACTACTTGCGCGTGTCCCTCTTGATACTACTGGCATTTGGTATTCAGGAAAAGAGTGAATTCCTCAATTCCCCGATCTAATATCTTCATGGGAGTAATATTGAAAGACTTGCCATGAATCTGCAAACGACCCTGGCATTTGTCATCTCTTGAAAGTTTTGAGAAAGTTGCCTGGAGGAAACTGTAGCCGGGAAACTTTGTCTCATTGCAATCCTGAAGCATTGCTACCTTATCAACGAATGTGACATTCCAAGGCCTGTTCGTTATAGACTTGAATGGGACCACGACTCCACATAACTTTATTGATCAAGGGCTTGGATATACAACGGCTGAGCCCGTGCTGGCTGGTCCCCGATTCGTCATTTGCATTGACGTGGGTCTTCGATAGTTCTAATTGTCAATTGAATTTGCACAGCAAAGTTAGGAGTTCCTGTACTTCAGTCAGAACCCATGATAATCAAGGTTTTCGATGTCTCTTTACTCGACCGACCTGTGCTTCCATACCTCAGTGACTGAGTGCAAAGGTGTACCATACTATTTTTATTCATGATATCTTTACAGCTTACCAGGTTTCCTTGGTTCTTCGGTAATGTCAGATTCTAAGAACGACGTGCATGGAGGATTCATAGGCATCCCACTGTCAAATATCAATACTTCTCTTTGGGGTAAAATGTGGTGATGAAACGCGGAGGTCTGACACGATTCTGGAAGCCGTTTCCGTCATATCTACCAATAGGAACCATTTTCCCTCTCGAAACTTTCGATCACTCCGGAATATCATCAGCCTTACCAATCGCTATCCCAAGGAAGTTTTTGCAATTTCGGCCTTGGGTCCTCAGATGTGATTATGGATGGTTACCCGCTTGTGGCTGATTTATACCGATCAAGAGGCTTGCACAGCATCGGGCATATCACCGTACGTGATTTATGTACAGAACATCTGATGTCAGCATTCTGATTGGCAACTTTACGCAAACAGTGGTTTCTCATTGCCTTTCCAGAAATATTACCATCGGGTATGGACGCCTTGGATTGGAAGGTAAACGACCTCTCAAACATCATCATGATATCGATCGTTATTATAACATCATCACGATTACCATGCACATCGGATCAGGCTCGTTGTAACCTGCGGCTCAATTTTGGCAACTATTCTTCGGATCTAATAAGGGCAGGTATGAAGCATGATAGGGTGATAGGGTGATTAAATTGCCGGGGCACCCCTTTTCCACGAATGATCGTGCGATACCGTATAAAGGGCCAATTAGAGCGTTCTCGACTTCGATATCAGTGCATTTATTTGTTAATGTCAGGGTATGGGCGAGCGGGGAAGCTCGTTTCCAATATTTGGCGATTTTATGAAATTCATAAATCAGCTATGAGAACTGGCACAAATCCCAGGGTGATTCTTCGATACTTCAATCAAAATATGCTATTTGATTCCAGACCCCATGAATGTTACACATGTGCCTACTTTGTAGCTGCCTTAGTAGCTTTCAAAGCCACAAACGACGATTACTTATCCCACAGGGCTGATGATGAACTCTCCCTTTATACCATAGAAGCCTTGCAAATATGTGAGAACTACTTCACCCAGCCACAGAGAGCATTGCTCCGCCCGGATCGTGCATGTGTAGGGTGACGTTCGGCAGTCTGGAGCGCGGGGCTTGTTTGCATTTTCCACGTTGTGGTCTATGCTCTGCCTGGAATTCGGGTCTACTAACGATCATTACAGGGCTTCAGATCTTACTCTTCAGTGGTCAGTTCTGCAATAGATTATCGGTGGGTCCGATGAACTAGCGACCCTTTGGATACGTCAAATTAGGACCCCAACAGTTCATCATGGACATCATTTCTTCCTTATATTCATTCTTGAATATCGTCATGGAAGAGAAAGGTACTACTTCAAGAAACATCAACAATTATTCCATGTATATTCAGTCCTCAAATCCAATGTCATTTTCTCGCCTATGTCCAATTAGACATCTCATCAAACACATCACTCCAGACTGGTTTTTGCGTTGTGATGACGCTTTCCAGATCTTCGATTACACAGGTTTCGATGAAACGGGATTCTAAAGTCTCATTCATGGATACCAACCCCGACGACTTGGAACGGCAATCGACTTGGGACGATGGATCACGGCCGTCCAAAAGAGCTAGAGCGAGCAAACCTAAAGTTAAGTCAGGCTGCATTACATGCAAGTGAGTACCTTCTGATCTACCTGTCTACTTCTTGGGCATATATTCGCAGATATCTGACATTGATCTCTCAGGGCTCGTCGTGTTAAATGTGACGGTAAGTTGTTTCGTAATTCTAAATTCAATGGACTTTTCACAATCTCCTTCAAGGTACCAGAATTGAGCAGCATCTTAATTTTCCCTTCTAAGCTACTAGAAATTTACATAATTTACGTCTAATCCTTCCAAATGATCAACAGAAACGAAACCACAATGTCTTCGATGTCAAAAGTTCGGTCGAACATGCGATGGATACGCTCACGAGATTCGATCACGAGGAAACATGACGCCAATCCAACCTAGAATTCCAATGGCAGATATTTATACTCCAAGTATTTCTCTTGCAGCAACAGAGCAGGAAGGCCGGTATTTCCAATATTTCTGTGATCGAACAGCGTATCAATTGCCTGGTTTCTTTGATCCCACCTTTTGGAATCACATTATTCTACGAGAGAGTCACAATGTCACTTCAATTCGACATGCGGTAATCGCTATTGCAGCTCTTAACAAAGCCATTGAAGAAGCACCTGGACCACATTTGAAAGTCAACGTCATTCAAGATATAAACAAAAAGCATCTTGAATTTGCCGTCATACAACATCTCAAGGCCATTCAAGCTTTGAACCAGTACATATCTACCTCTAATGGTCCTCAGTTGAGAACAGCGCTTATGGCATGTTTACTTTTTGTTTGCTTTGAAACCATACAAGGAAGTTATGCTTCGTCGGTGCAGCAAACTTATGGAGGCTTGAAGCTATTGAGGAGTTATTATGCTGGAAAGCCTGGATCGAAACCGTGGATTCCGCGGCGGATCTCAGCAGGGTTCAATACGAACCCCCAGACTGATAAGGTTATAGCCAAAGTTCACAGTCGGCCAGGTATGGATGGTTCCTCCAAATCAGCCACTATCTCATCACATATCGAAGAGTATCTGGAAACTGAGAACCCGCCACTTCAACCTGCGCATACCCCCACGATAGATAGGACGCCCACACCACCACAAAGGGATTACAGTCCACGACTAGATGCCATGACCATTCCATCACATTACAAGTCAAACTTAACATTGGAACAGCAACGTTCTCTGTCAGGTACACCGGTTCAAGATTATCCGAGTGCGTACCAAACACCCAGTGAATATATATCCCCGAGCGAACAACAAAAGCCCAACATTGCGATGCCAATTGCAATCCCTGGCAGAAGGCCGTCATCCAATCATTCAATTTCCAGTATCCGCACTCCAGAGTCACTTCATACTCCCCCTTCCATGGGTAATACACCACCACCTGCTACCTATAGATCTTCCCAGTCCCCACCTGTGCTCACGAATCCTCGAAAGCGGCCTCTTCAATCGAGAAGTCCTACTCCTCCCATTTTAAACAACGACTTTACGCTGGAGGAAACTATAATACAAGCATTCGTCCGCCTGGATGGGCAAGGACGTAAGTGTGCTTCTGTTTTTCTCGGTTCAACCAAGATTGAACAGATCTGGACAATTCTATTTTCTTCTTAACTTTATACTTTGTCACATGCTGACTGTCTTCTTATCGTAGTGTTCTTCGGTATGACACCGGGTATTCCCCCCCTACTTTGGGACATTCATTCTGCACATCACATTCCCATTCCAAAAGTATTCACAAGTTTTTCTGAAGCTCAGCACTGTTGGGATTTTTTAATGGACCGAACACTTCAATACTATCGAAGAACACTTTTCGACAGGAAGTTTGCTAGTGCGAAAAGTGATACTCCTAGCGAAATAGCCCGGCAGTATGCAGATTATGTCACAGGACTAAATGAATTCGAGCAAGCCTTCCAACCCATATTGAGCTTATCTATATCCCCTAAAGGAAAGGTGCTTAATCAGGCCGCTATTGTCCTTATCACACATCTGAAAGCCACAGCCATAACACTATCGGCTGTCACATCTACCTCAGAGATGGTTTATGACTCTTTCCTGAATGAATTTCGGTACATAGTTCGAGCTGCGGAAAAGCTCGTTACAACATGTGAGGCGAATCCCTCGGCTATCAATTCATCACGATTTAGCCTTGATATCGGGATTGTTCCGCCATTACATGTAGTAGCGACCAAATGTAGGGAACCAAGCATCAGAAGAAAGGCAATTGATCTGCTTTTCAGAAGTCCAAGGCAGGAAGGGATGTGGGATGGTGTACTAAGTGCTAGGATTGGCCGGTGGATAATGAGCTGCGAAGAAGATGGATTGGATGTGTCCGGGATACTCGAACCTCCCAACAAACAGCCAGGCTACGGCAACCAGAGCTTCCAAAATGAGGGATCGGTACAATTTCACAATGGTGTTCTATCGCCAGGATACTGGAACAATGGCGAAACGATTGAGGATAGAGACTTGATCCAGGAAAACTTTGCACCCTATTTATCACAAAGGCAGAGTCCAGTGCCACAAATTCCTTCGCCATATGCTCAAGCTCTTACACCACCCATCAGAGAACACTTTCCAATGCCTCGACAAGAAAGGGTCTGGATGGTACCAGAAGATAAGCGCTTTCAATTAGTAGTTGTAGATTTCCATATGCCGGATCGTTATATTATGGTCAAGTGTAAGAGATCCTTACAGAACAAAGATGGTACAAGAGAGGAAAGAGAATCGATTATTGCTTGGTGAATTATCATGATGATACGCTACTTGAAGTATCGTATCATTGAGAGTTGTGGCTATGAAGCATTTGACGCATTGTCTTGGAGTTCTAGCGCTGCAAAATGGCATGAGAGGATGGAGTTTGGGAATACGAAGACTCATATGAAAATAGTTCTCGACGTTCAAATCCGCGAAACTAGGTATTTCTAGATACAATCAGACTACTGTAGTTTAAACTTGAAATGATTTCTTGCCTGTTAAAGTGATTGAAAGCAAACCAAAAACTTCCTCACGTGATCGGCCTGACCTCGGCTTGGAAAGCTCAGAAATGATTGCCTAGCGGGGTTGTAGATGCCTGAAGCTGAAGTTTAATCTCGAAGACGAGGCTTTTGATAAAAAGGTCAACAGCGGTCGATAGTTGATTTCCACTTTGGAAGATACAAGCTGAAAGGACTTTCCCTCGCAACCACATCAAACCACGAATCTTCAAATTGTGATCGAGAGTAATTTGAAGAAATTCTATCATCATAATACATAGCATTTACCCCCTATCAAACCAGTTCAACAACATACCGTGCGCAAAGACGGACCAGCGCAATACAACGAATACTCTCGAGTGGGATACCTAATTAAAGTACCAAGTAATCTGCAACTCGCACACCCACAGCTCCACGTTGATCCCTCCTACTGGATAGTCTCTGCCAGTATACACGACTGTTTTCTGGATCAATATAGGAAGTGCGATACATTCAAGCGCGTCATTAAGAGTGCCTTTCCTACGAAGCATTCGAGCTCTGGTATATTGGAGCGGTCATAAACTTCACGTCACATCTTTTTCGGTTTCACTCAACTGGCAAGCCTGCTGCGTCAATCTTGATACTAGTTGTCACGGATTTTCAACAGACATTCAACAACAGGTTGGGTTTGGAACTTAAACCTAACTTACTCGAAGTTACCCAGCTACCCCCCACAAGATGTCTTCCTCTTCTGGTACCCCAGAATCTTGGATCTCTTCTTTCTGCGCATTATTGGGACATGAATACTTTGCAGAGATATCGGAGGAATTCATAGAAGATGACTTCAATTTGACAGGTTTACAAACACAAGTAGCTATGTATAAGGAAGCACTCGAGGTAATTCAATACATGACTCATGTATCTTGACAACATGCTAACGTGAACCTATTATTAGATGATCTTGGATGTCGAGCCAGAAGAAGATGAGGACGAAGATGACGAGGATGAGGATGAGGATGAGGATGCATCTATTGAGGGCGAGGATCGATCAGGACGTAAAGCTGCAGCCGAAAGAAGACATCAACGAATGGCAAGCGATCTATCAATTATAGAATCCTCCGCAGAGATGCTCTACGGTCTTATCCATCAACGATTTATCTGTTCTCGAGCTGGTATACAACAAATGTCGGAGAAGTACGACCTTGCCCATTTTGGTGTCTGTCCACGAACACATTGCGAACAAGTCCGCACATTACCCGTAGGATTATCTGATGTACCAGGTGAAGACACCGTCAAATTATTCTGTCCCTCCTGTCTCGATGTATACGTTCCTCCAAATTCCCGATTCCAGACGGTCGATGGTGCCTACTTTGGACGAACTTTTGGGGCGCTCTTTCTCCTCACATTCCCCGATTACGATATTAGCAAGAAGGGATTAGAAGCATTGAGTGGGCATGGAGGCAGAAGTTTACAACACTCCAACGATGAAGAAAAGGAAAAGATCAACGGCATGAATGCATCAAACCTTGCACCTGGTCTCGGCAAAGGCAAAGTCTACGAACCTAAAATTTACGGATTCAAGGTTTCGGAGAGAGCGCGAAGTGGTCCTCGAATGGGCTGGTTGAGGAAACGACCAGATGAGGTTAGAGAGTTGGATGAAGCGACCGCATATGCGCTGGAGCATGCTGAGGATAGTGATGAGGGTATTGATGTTGCACCTGGTGGCGCCAGTGCGAGTGCTCGACTCAAGCCACGGAGGAGGAATCCAAGAGCGTTGGCAAACAACGGAGGAAGCCCTATGAGCGTAGAAGCCAACGGAGAGATTTTTTCGTAGCATAATCTTGAATGAAAAGACTGAGGGGTGGACGGAGGGGCGTTTGGGTGCTTTTTATCGTCGCGGCGATGGATGGATGATACAGTAGATGGTTTGGCTTTTATGGTTATCATACGGCTTGTGTTTGCAAATCAACTCACATACATATATTGGCGGATTCGAGCGCACGCGGTTGCTTGCTTAATTGTTTATTACATGTGATGAGCGAGCGCGAGGAGAATGCATCTACTTTTGCATATGGGTGGTTTACTCTGATTCGGTGGAATGGGTGATTGTGAGTCATAATTTGGGTGGTGGCTACGGGAGAGTGTTGTGTTCGGGGGCGGGGGATCGAAGTGAAGGGAAAAGATACAAGCGTTACAAGGAATGAAAGAGTATATTTGCTATAGGAATGAAATGGGATGGTTGTACCTATCTTAAGAAGCCAAAGATGAGATCAGATAAACAGTTGATAGTCATGATGATTTTTTCTCGTGCTTGGGACATCGTTGTGATTTCTCGCATCTCCTACCTCGCTTATGATTCGTCCTGATCGCTCTACTCGCTCTGCACACTTGGAAGTTGGTGCATCATGAGTACAAACTGGAGAATGTGTAGTTCATTACTGATGTTCTTGTTCATTGCAACTGTATTGAGAGAGCTTAAGTAGGCACAGATGTTGTGGACAGTAATGTCGTGAAGAGTGAGGAACAGGAGAGAAACGTGGTGGTACGGATTCTTGGACTAGAAATGAACCGTCGTCAGAACCATCTTTGGCGGTTGGTGGAACACAGATGTGAATTTAGAATATTTCTTTGGAGGGGGTGTGATACGAGCATGGGTAGAAGCTCATTAGAACGGAAGGAATTAATATCTTATATTCTGTTGCTCACGTTTGTGTAATGAACTGAGGGAAGCGATTATGGAAGGTATAAATGCAGTAGTTTCTTGCTCCTTCTTTCCTTTCCTGAAAAGTCATGTTTTGGTTTTTCAAGAGTATTCTAGAGATCACAGTACATTGAGAAAGAAGTCAAACGCTCCAAGAAATGTATGATTTGAATGCTGTGGTAACAGAAGAGATCCTGTGCGTCCAAAATCGGCTGATGAGAAAGATCTGCAAGAATTCGTATAATATTTTGAACTTCTTGAGGATCAAAAGAGGAAAACTTCACAGGTAGGAGATGAGTCTCCTTATCTCTACTCTCAAAACACAAATATCACCCCGATTTCAAACGCGCAAATAATGATCCAGTATACGCTTTGGTATCTCACTAATGTGGAGTAGAGTATGACGGTTTACCCACCTGGAGCTCTACCCAATAAGAGTACTTACCAATCAAATGATTCGTTGAGGCTTATAGTGATGTCTATTGTGGTACTTCTGGCTGGATCCAGGCTGCTTTTATACATACATTTGTTCTTGCATTGTCTTATCCTAGGATATCAGGACGGGATGAGGCTCTCTCCTTTTGCCATCTAGACATTGGATGGTTTACATATCAAGAAATTGTTTTTCAGATAGCTGGTTTGAGTTTGATCACATTTTCCGTATCATATATCATAAATGCTTCAAATTTTCAGACTCGCTTATAAGTCTCCGTTCCTACAACTAAGAAGGTCCTTGGACCTCTTTATTGATGGCAACCTGCCAGCTGTATCATTGCTCCTTTCCATACACTGGTTACCTTCCTGTGGCTGTATGAATATCTGACCCGGAGATATAGCTTTGGCGATACGAGTCAGTAAATGAGGTGCAATCGAAGGGCTACATGACTAAAGCTATACCCCATGCAATTAAAACAAAACAGGCCATAGATACCTGGGTTATTTTCCACAGGCTTCAAACACGCAAGCGTCATTCGTTACAAATCGAACGGAAGGCAACCCCTAAGCTGCATGGTGAGGGATTTGAAAAAGCCAACTCACGGGAAGTCACTTTGAGATATGCAGCAAAAGCTACTGGCTAAGGAATAACATTCCTCATTGTGGTATTCAAAACGTACGAATCTCAGGCATGATTTCCTACCATCCCCCATCATTCTCGATATAATGATCATAATGATCAGTAAATTAACTTTTCGTAAGTTTTCAATCCGAAGTAAGATAGCAGTAATCTGAAGATTACATCAAGTTACCTACCTATCTTTGTCCAAATACGAGGTGGCTTTGGTTTCGACCATTAGCTGCAACCTTCCGTGTTCAGGTCTGTTTGCTAGACTTATTGCTACACACCGCTCGTCGCTTGCTGTGACACAGACGAGAAAATGAGCTGTCACACCAGAGAATCAATTCTTTGTTGATAGGAGGATCTGCTACCACCTTACTTTCTATGCCCTATAGTAATCTCGAACTCATAATAAGCTTGCAACTCTCTCTAGTTCTTTTCCATTCAACTCATTGTTGACCCGTTTATTTTTTTGGAGATTTCCGGATACTACAATTCCCATCACAATTAGCCATAAATCTCTTTTTTCACAATATCTAAACTACATCACCACTTCGCCTCGAACTCTCTCGAACGTGCATCTCATGATGAAATATTCATGCCAAGGTGTATTACCGCTGTTAGGAACATACTGCACAGACCATATTGGAAGAAAAACTGGACTCTGTCATCCCGCTAGACTATCTCAACAAGCTGTAACGACTCAGTTTTACATGTCCTCTCTGAAGCTGCCCGTATCCTGCTTGGAAGAATACAGTTTCAGGTCTCGACAAAGCCACCGGAGTTCATACGTACCCATAGCTTTAGCGCCGCTCCGCATCACTGAAGATGCTGAACCTTTTCGAGTTTCTTCATTAACAGTTTCCAAAAGTATGTATACAGTCCCAACTGCAAGATTTGGGAAGCAGCTCGAGCAACTTGTGCAGCCCCTCGTTTTTTTTTCAAAGCATCTTCATTGAAGAGAATGAGATTGATGAAGAGTTTGTTGACGCGCGACCTAGGCGAATTCTTCGAAAGTATGAAATACTTATGTCTTGGCTGGCATCCCCAAAGCTCTTGGCTTCACGAGACCAAAGTCTTTAGCGGAGAAAGCGGCTCCTATGAGATAGGCCATCTTTCTAGCACTCCCATAGTATTTGCACAGCATTCAACGAGCAGACCATATTTGTTTTACAATTTAAGCAATGCATATACCGGTCTTGACAGCAGAATCATATCAACTCGTTTAGGTGGTCTCAGAAAACTTGGTGCCTCGATGACCAGTCCAGTGAGCAGCCCAATAGGGAACTGTCTCGGACTAGGGGTGTAATAGTGCTTGGACACAGTACTGTCGAAGCTTTACCACAAGAAGCTCTTGGAGGATTACCACAAGAAGCTCTTGGAGGATTACCACAAGAAGCTCTTGAAGGTTTACCACGAGGAGATGGGGGACGCCGCCGCTATGCCACTTCCAGATGAGGATGACAAGAACTACACGACGAAGCAGCACTACACAGGCCTGTTCAGGATGAGTCAAGTCAATCATATACAGGATGGCGAGAAGGAGTCAAGTCAACCATATAATGGCGAGAAGGAGTCAAGTCAATCATATACAAGATGGAGAGGTCACTACTCAGCATCGAATGGAAGCAAGGGAGAGATACGCAAAGACAACACTTCAGGCGAACATGGGTGAAAGTAAGAATGGGAGCACGATGATTGATACCTATTTGTACATATAGCATCGAGTTCTTGGTGTTGTAAGGCTGTTTATAAGAGAAGTTTGGGTACATACAACTAAAAATTCCTCTCGCAGGATATAAAACATAGTGGCTTTCCTCATTGTTCGCTCGTGATATGTACATGTATGAGCTTTATTTAACATGGGTCTAATAGCTATAGGCTACAAGACCAAATGGGATCAACTAGCGCATCATCATGTGATACCAGCGGAAGGAATCGGGGATACATGGAGGGCGAGACTCTCGATTTCACTCGAAAGGAAGCACGTGGAATGAAAATATCATTCATTATTACATAATGATTTCCGTGCCACAGTGCACAGCCACCGCCACACCTGGCACATAAGAAGGGTGCTCTTCATGGAGAATTCGAGCCCGTTGTAGTATCATACAGCAACTACATTTATTCTCTAATACTACAAGAGATCGTTACCAGGCAGAAGATACAGAAAAGACACTCTCAATCATTCACAACCCCTCACACAAAATGCCATCCTTCACCGAAACCCCCTCAACCACAGCCAATGCGGCTCCAAACACCACTACGGTCGACACCTCAAATCAATCTACCGAGACAGTGCAGAAGACCGAGGCTCAACTAGAGGCGGACAGACTGTACGAGGAAAGAATCGAGGAGGAGTATGCGAAGAGAGAAGGCGGTGCTTAGGATGGATAGGAAGACAGACGTCAACATGGAGAGACTTCTCTGCCACGTCTCTTCAGTGGCAAACCAGGAATGAAGTGGCATCAGGGAACTATCGAGAGACAAGCAACGATATTGGAGGATTAAGATGTCTAGAGGAACTTGCATACATATAGCATTAATGATATCACTCTCCTTCTTTTATGCATCTCCGTCATCTTACAAGTGAAATCCGAACAATTGCACTCCCTCGTGACCTCCGGCCTTTCGGAGTTACGGGGTGACACCCCTCCCCTAGCATCTATCTCGGGACCGTACTTTTAGTCTTGTCTTGATATCCATAGCATTGCAGCGGTAAGGATTGCAGCGGTAAGGATATAAAAAATTCAATTCATCATAAAAATGTTCTAGAAAGGACGGATGTGTCAGCCTTCTCGGCCACTTTTTCGCGCCCGTCCCATCCTTATTTGCGGCATAGAAAGCTTGAAATTGTATGCGTGAATGCTCTCAACCAATCCAGTCACCGACATTGTAATAAAGCCGTTGAAACGGCCAATGAGACCACGGATATTAGCAACCACGACGGGGTTTGGGAGAAGCTAGCTGCTGGACATCTGAAACCCCTAAAGTTTGTGTTCTGATTTGAAGCTCCGGGTTGATCAAAGCGTTTGTGTTAAGGGTGGACATTGCTGGTGTTGTGTCTTGGACCATGAACCATGGAGTCAAGGAACCAGAGCTGGAAAAGTTTGGATAGAAATGATCAATTGAATAAATATGGAAAGGAAGAAAGCAACGTCAATTCCAGTTCCAGTTCCCGGTGACTCCAAAGAGATATAGGGGATATCACCATCTCCAATTGAAGCTTTCCATGCCTCCATATCTATGGTCCATTTTCAACGATTGTCCGGTATTGCTATCGCTATCGCCGAATTCCCCGCTTTTTGGAAGATTATACTCTCTTATCTCCTTTGGGATAAGCGCAATCAGACGGAAATACTCCATGCACAAAGAAAGTCGAAAGAAACTAACTAAACTAACTCGAGACTAACCGACAATTTATTAGCCCCATCAAATGAATATCGATACTCTTCAATCAATCCATCATCCAACCGACCAATCGTTGTTGAGATATTACCCACGTTGGACGAATCAGAATCAAGGTAATTAATGGTCAGCAAGATCCTAAAATATTCAAACAAGCTTAGAGACCTTTGAATCAAACCCGTGGTTAACTATCAAACCAACTGAGATAATCCTTGAATGTAATAAATGGAGATGTTGTCCTAAAAAGGTAGGGAATGACATCTAGAATATAACTACCACCATACCATCCATCCATCCATCCAACACATATAAAGATCCAAGAAGTTCCTCTCATCTCACTTCTAATTCTTGAGCCAAAACTTAACCAGATAATCAGTCCAATCACACATACCAGCAACCAAAGGGACAAACCTATCAAACAGTTGGAGATCAAGAATCAGAACAACCTCAATTCGATTCCATTTTGATATCAAAACCATCAACCTCGTTCCCCTGGAATGTACAATTGTAGGAGACAGTACTAGGTAATTACTACATATCTTCGTTGAATGTCATCACAAGTCAAGTACAACGTCTCCTCAGAAGAAACCCAACACAACTTAAAGCCACACACCACCCCCAACCGAAATCATGGTTTTAGCTGCCCTTAAAAATATCTTTTTCTATCAATCCGTCACTCCCAAATCGCCCAAAGCAAATCGAGAACGAGGAGTACCAAAGATCGATTTCGTTACATCTAGACAACCTCTCTTACCAAATAGCAACACGAACCAGAACTCCGGGTCGGTCGACGACACCCACGATGATGATGAAAGTACTTTAGATTTAGAATCTCAAGATTCCAGATCAGAGAAGTCCTCAAAGAAGAAGGGATGGAGAATCGATGCGAGAGTTATTTCGGATGCAACCATTGGTTTAAGTGATGGGTTGACAGTCCCATTTGCATTGACGGCTGGATTGTCGGCTTTCAACGATTCGAAAATCGTTATAGGGGGAGGAATGGCCGAGTTGATTGCAGGGGCCATTTCTATGGGCTTGGGTGGATATCTTGCTGCTAAGAGTGAACTGTGAGTTTACCCCACAATTGCATCCAGTGAAGGAATGAAGTTGTCATCATCAATGAGTCTGCCTCCACGGCAGTGGCTCCCGGAGGGCCAACGGAGTGTCGTCAAATTTGAGATCAGATTGACTAATAATTACATTAGTGCATCATATCATGCTACACGAGAAAAGACCCTCGAACGAATAGAAACCGATCTTCAAGGCGTCTTAAACGATCTCATGGAAGAGTATGAACCTTACGACTTTCCCAAAGAAGTTATCACCGGCCAATCAACTCATCTTGCTCAAATGCACCCAGAGCTTCTCACCGACTACATAATGCAGTTCCAACATTGTGAAGAAGAACCTGCTACATCCCGCGCTTTTACATCTGCTCTTACGATCTCGATGGGATACTTCCTCGGTGGTTTACTACCTTTACTGCCTTACTTTTTCGTATCCACGGTTGCCGAGGGATTATATATCTCTGTCGGGGTTATGGTGATAACACTATTCATCTTTGGATATGTCAAGACGGGCATGATAACGGGTTTCCAAGCGAAATGTATAGGAGGCAATTGCTGGGGTGCTGCTGAAATGGTTCTCATTGGGGGTGTAGCAGCAGCGGCTGCGATGGGATTAGTGACATTATTTCAACCTGGAGTGTAGATGCTAGAAGGGATTTGTCGGTTAAAATTATAGATAGGCGAACGGGATAAGGTTGAACGAATTTATGAATTGATGATGGCGTTCAATGGAGATGGATTGGGTAATTCATTATGGGAGGAAAATAGGGTTGAACGGCGGCGTTCAAGGGAAAACGCACTCTCGAGAATATCGATCGAGTGATTCTTTTCCTCTCTGTATCTGTTCATAAAATAGGATAGCTGTTCAATAGCATTGGGGTTGGGCAAAGGAACATTCAATCAGACAATCTTGAATAATCTATATCATTTCCATGTGATATATGCCTCTGAGGAATTCTTATCGTCAGCTAGAATAAGGACTTTTGATCCTTTTCGCTTCGCTTAACACACACATATCCATTCTGCCAAGAACGGGACATCCGATTTGTACGAGTGTACGATTGTTCTCAATATTTGAGAGAGCAGCTCAAACCCAACATTCCTTTCGTCAATTAATAAAAATCATCGCATCTTTCCAACAAATTATTCTTTCCTGTTCTCACCTCATCTGAAAATTACATGAACTGAATACTTCTCATTTCCCAGCCTCAAATACCCACCCACCTCTCTTTCTCAGCCCTGTTGTCCATAAATTTCGTGGACATATCAATCGGTATTACATTTCCCGGGTTGACGGGTGTACAAGCACAGGAAGTTGGTAGATACGAAGCCCAAAACAACATTATAGAGAGAGGAGGGAGGAGAGAAAGTGCTATCCCGGCCTCCTGAGGAACTTGATAAATTCTATTCCGCTTGAGCTAGCGGGAAAAGTTACTTTCGTGAATTTACTATAGATACCTAGCTAGGGACTTGGACGGTAAGGAGACTAGATGATAGGGTAATAGAGAGAGGTCTTCGTCTGCTCTTTGGAGGAGAGAGAAGAATGAAGATGTGAGGATCGCGCGGGAGGACTTCACGGTTGTCAATTTACAAAGGGAAGATAGCCAAAGCGATTGTTTTGTCGGTGGTGGAGATATAGATGTTGATAGTGGGATCGTCACTTGATCAGAATATCTCTACCTCACTACCGGTGTTCGTGACTTTAAAGATATAGTTTCTCGCGAATTTCCTAACATCGTTGAGAGGGGTTATGTTCGCTCAGGATAAGATTTGCATGATGCATAGGATAGACATTTACTTCTTCGACTACATATCTCCCCAGCAATTCCATCACACATATGCATTAGAGAGAAGTCCATCGATCTCTGAAAACTCGCCACCTTATTGGTCTGCCAAAGTTAAATAAGGGTACAGTGTCGCTCTTCCATAACTCCAATCTAATGGAGTGACAGTCAATGCTTACACCAAACGAAATCTTATTGCAGAAACCAGAATATTCATAACAAAACACAACATAAGATAATACACCTGCATCAAGTGCATGCTGAACTTCAGTATTAAAAGTGCGTGCACCTTGCTGAGCAGGTGCAAATTTACAGATCAAGGTTGTATTTATAGTAGAGCATCCATAATCAAGAATCAAAGTATCACTATGTATTAAGCAGCCCAGATTGAGAGCCATTCTCAATGCTGTAGAATCATTTGTGTAACACCTGAAACGAATAAGTCTCTTCGAATGCATTCACAGGTATTACGTCTTTTCCCAGATCAAGCCTAACTGGCAGAGAATAGACTGTCTGAATGCTCATAAATCCTGTAGAGACAGCAGTACTCAGAGATAGCGTTCATATGGGATGAGAGAGGTGATACATTTTCATGGTATTAGGGGTCCAAGTATAGTTTCCAAATATCTAGAGATTTTAAGGAATGACTGCCTCACTGCAATTGATAGATACAAGTGCAGTTACAATATACACTTGAATTGGGCTTACTAATTTGCAAATCAACGTGGCATAGCGATCACCATCCCATAATCTCACATTAGCTAACAGTATTGCTCGAATATACATGCAAGACTGATATTCATGTCAGTTGAACAGATTATTACCAACTATTCGCCCGTCCTATTATGATTCCAGTCATCCTGACACACAAATCAGATTCAACCACCCCAGAACAAGTCAATCGATCACAAGTATGGCAACACACTAAGCTCCCATCATGAAAATGGCTCGATTGTCCCCATTAGTACCGGTGTCGCAACGAGCGGTGGCCTCATCATCGATTTTTGCTTTCTCACCAGGAATAACTTGACCATCGTTGGCCACTGACCAGCAGCCAGCTCCTCTGCCACCAATTGGAGCATATCCCATTCCACGTTCCATTTTGAAGCCCTCATGATGATCCCTAAAAACGCCCTTTATTCCACACCAAATCCGCTTTCTTAACCCTTGTTTGACTCCTAAAGGCAACGCAGAGTGATCTTAGTAAATATTCCCGGGATATCAAACAAAGTAACATGAAAGCAATGCTAAAACCGACTAATATCATTCAACCAATCTCCCAAGCCTCGCTGCGTTTTCACTATCCATCAAATTCTCCAAGCCCACGGCAATCTCCTCGACCTTCACTTCCAGGTTAAGCTTCTCATTTATCTCATTAATTTTACCAGAAACTCTCTCAAGCTTACCATCGGTCGTTGAGCCTGCGTAACTAGTGTGACTCAATGCATTCGCCTGGATCATCCAAGTCTTGTGTCCCAATTCGATCAGCGTTGGTCCGAATTCAGTCAGTAGTTCTTGAACTATTTCATTTGTTGGCTCCTCCTTGACTAAACCCATGTTATCTGGACCTCCAAATGTGGCATAAAACTGTACGTAATTTGTTAGTCGTGCTGATATAATAAAATTCCACAAAGGGTCATCTCGCGAATTCATGGGCAAGATAATGTAGTATGATAGCTAAAAATTTGATGGACTCACCCAGTCTTCCTTCCATTCCTCAATAGCCTTGATTGTCTCTGGATGATTGATTTTAATATCTTTCGCAATCATGTAGAAACTACTTCTTGTAGCATGCTTCTTAACAGGCTTGAATACTTCAACCGTAGCAAATTTCGAAAATGTATACAACATGAATGCTGAGTGCCATGTGTCAATCTTATGTAATAACATAACCAGAGTACCTCCATTGTGCATCCTATTCATGGCAAGAATCAGTTGCGAAGTTTGTAATCGCACTGTTTCCTTACTAAGGTTGGCCTTGTAGGTGTCCTTAATGCGATCATGCGTACGAAGAGTCTTGCCATCGGCAAATACAAGATGATATTTGATAAACGTGTAGGGCTTGATGTCACTAAAATTTGACTTTAAATCCTCGGGGATGTCTTTACCGTTTGGACAAAACTCCGTGAACATTGTAATATCACAGTATCTAAGACCCTGGAGGCGGCTCGTGTCGATCATAACATTGTGCCCGCCAGAAGCAGGGTTCAATGTGATGGCATATGCTTTGAAGCTATTGCGGTAATCGAGAGCTGCTGCAGTGTAACCTCCAGGTGCCATGCAGAGATCGAGCACGTTGACCTGGCCATCTGGGACGAAAGGTATGTTGAAGATACTGTGAGCGTTGTGCATTTCCTCTCCGATTTGTTGCATCATCTTGTAAAAGCCACGTTCACCCTCTGGTGTGGTTGAGTCGGCGCGCTCTCGTTGCTGTTTGAAGTGCGCATCGCCGTCTTCTTTGTTGTCATGCCATCCCTATACACGCTAATTAGTGGCCGCACATGAACTTGAATCAACGAGATGAAGAATAATAGTAGAAAGACTCAATTTAATGGTCTGTAAGTCAACGCGTGTTTGTAATTAACACGGCACAAGATAGCACTGAAGCAATGAATCTTAAAGAGTCAACGAAAAACATCTTACCCTGCTGCGGAGCTCCACAACTCTCTTGCACTCCTCATCCGACAGAATCAAATAAACTTTCAACAGCTGTGATGCCTTTGTGGGACGTTCTCCATTGGGACCATCACGAATGCCCAAATCATTCGATGCGTCTTCCAAGGTGAGACCGAACAGTTCTTTTGCGAGATCCTCGATGTTCAGATTTTTACCATTGTCCTTCAAAGTAGCTAGTTTGTTCTTGAAGATATCAAGCTCTGAAGAAAGGAGAAAGCCATTGTTGGTTGAAGGATCCATGATTGAAAGGAAACTATTGATAGATATCAACAATTGGCGTAGTTGTCGCTGGTGAGACAAATATTTGAAAGGACGTTAATGTTTGGAAATAAAAGGAGAGTGAAAATTGAAATTTGGATCATACAAGAGAATAAGGTGAACCTCAAGGCGCTCTTGTTTCAATGGCAAAGATTTGTTCTCTTATTTTGTCTTTCATTGACCAAGTAAACGAAAAGAAAGTGAAAGTTCGAGGGGGGAGGACCCTCCTGGAAGATGAATAGCTTTATCCGGATTCTGTCTTCTTCTTTTTTTGGAATCAGATCAGTAGTATAAATCCTGTGTATTATGAAATTGAATTGGCGAGAACATGTGGAAAGAGATGTTAAGATGGTTCAAAAAGGAAGACTCGAGATTGTTGGAGATTGTTGAAAAGGTAGTGAGCATCCAATGTGATGGTCTTCAATACATGAACTTAACTGGCGTACTAAGGGACAACTTGTAAAAACTGATTTATTCTTGTGAGGTTCTTGAGGGGGGGAGATGGATGGTTAATGTATTACACTGAGATCAAACAAAGTTCATAAAGAGTTTCCCTTCAAGATTTGACAAACATGGAAGGCACATTAACAACCAACCAACTCACCAACCTCAGTGCACCATTGCTGCTGCCATTTTGCGTGTTCAACATATCATATCATATCATATCATATCACAAGGAACTTACAAGCCTGACATTATTAAACCCTTGGTTCATCAAAATCACACGACATTGCATATGTCAACACTGCAATCAAATGTAAGATAGAGAGCTGCTACCAAATTTTCTATGGTACAAAGTAGCAGCGAATTTTGTGTTTTCTATCTTATGTAACAAACAATTGGTTGGTTACCTCACTCCTATCATTCAAAAGAAGAGGATGCAACATGTAATTTGTATTTGCCAAATGCACATGCCAAAAGTGTA